TACCAAATTCACATGATTACTTTTAACAAGACTTCACCCATGTCCTTAGGAACGAAAGTAACTACTCAGTAAGCATATTCATGTTCAAGATCAGAGGGGTATTGAATATCATTAAGGATCTGAACATATGATCTTCAACCAAATAAACCAACGAGTAACAACTACAAGGAGTAATCAACAATACTAGCAACCCACAGGTACTAATCTAAGGTTTTGAGACAAAGATTGAATACAAGAGATGAACTAGGGTTTGAGATGAGATGATGCTGGTGAAGATGGTGATGAAGATTGGTCCTCCCACGATGAGAGGACCGTTGGTGATGATGATGGCTTCGATTTCCCCCTTTAGGAGGGAAGTTTCCCCGGCGAAACCGCTTCGCCAGACCTCTAGATTACTTCTTCCTAGCTTCTGCCTCGAGACGGCGGCGCTTCATACCGAAAGCCCGCTCTCTATTTTTTTAGGTCAAAACCCTTCATATAGCAGATGATGGGCACCTGAGGCTGGCCAGGGGCCCCACAAGCTCAGGGGGCGCGCCCCCAGGCTTATGGCCACCTGGTGGGTCCCTTCCTCGTATTTCTTTGCCCAATATTTTTTATATATTCCAAAATAATTCTCCGTAAAGTTTCAGGACATTTGGAATTGTGCAGAATAGAGATCTCAGATTTGCTCCTTTCCAGTTCAGAATTCCAACTGTCAGCATTCTCCCTCTTCATATAATTCTTGCAAAGTAAGAGAGAAAAGTCATAAGAAGTGTATCATAAAGTGTAATAACAGTCCATAATGTAATAAATATTAATATAAAAACATGATGCAAAATGCACGTATCAGGTGCAAGGGCATGAATGTCGTGTCGGCTTCTGGACGTGCCCTTCAGTCTTTGCTGCCTGGTCCCGCTCTCAGTTGCGAGCTCCTCGTCGTCCTAGCCTCCCACTGCCCCGTTCGACGAATTTGGCGCTGGCTTTGGCCGTGGCAGACGGGAAGAGGAGGAGGATTGAAGAGGGGTGGGATCTCAAGAGAAAAGTGGTGGTGGGGTTGGTCTTAAGAATTTTTTTAGTGACCAAGACAATTTACTATATGAAGCAACTCGTTTTCTGTGCTTGGTTTAACCTAGATGAAAACAGAAACACTTCACATCCACGTAAATCCCCAAGAGGTACTAAAAGTAAGTTTTAAAACAGTAGAAAATCAAACCTTGCACGATTTAATGTATGTTTGTATGTATGTGGAACTTGTATGGACAAAACATGATGCATTGGTGAGGGTTAAATCATAAAGTTATTATTCATTCACTTAGGTAACTGTCCATTGTCTGACTGTAGGAACCAACTCTGCAATGGAATGACAAGATGAGAACGGTGACATATAGTTATCCACAAAAATAGTAGAAACGCACACAAATTCCTTTTTTTGAGGGAAAGGCCATTATGGCTAGCTTTATTTAGAATTTAACCAACGCTTACATCGTCCGCTAAGAGTTCCAAAATAAATGCCGGAGGTGAGTCCAACCATAAGTTCGGTGGATCTACACGTCTATTTTGCGCTAGCACATGAGCTATCATATTAGATTCACGATTACAATGCTCTAAAATGACCTTCCCGAAATCGAGTAACAGTAACCAGTAACCGGCAATCCTCCAGAATTGGAGCTGCTCTTGTGGAGTGGCCTATATTTTGCTGTAGAGTTTCGACAAGATTCAAACAGTCTATCTGTACCAGAATGAAGTTGCAGCCAACAGAATTAGCAAGTTTTAGACCTTCTACTAGGGCTGCAGCTTCGGCAGTAAAAGCATCCGGCACATGATCAAGCTTTGCTGTAGTCACACAGTAGAACATACCCGCACTATCTCGGATCACTGCACCACACGCACCCATATTATCATGATCCGAAAACGCAGCATCAACATTCAGAGCCAGTTGATTTTGTAGAGGCTTTTTCCATCTGTTCAAACGCGGAGTTACATGCATTTTACACGACGCCCGTACAAAATTCAGAGCTAAAGCTCGGATAGCCTGACCCATCTGCACGGGAGGTTGAACTGGTTCCTGTCGAACAATAAGCCTCCGTTGCCACCATAAGTACCAACTCACGATAGATACCAGCTCAGGTAGCTCCACCACATCCATGCTAGACTTACCTAAGACTGTTACGTATCCTACGTAATTTTCCTTTCCCCTAGCCAAACGCCCTCCCCCCTGATTTTCAGGGTGGCCCCAGCCTCTACTAATGTCCAATTAAAGGCTGCCAACTCATCTCATTCGTAAGGTACGTAAAAAACTCTTCGTAGATGTAGCATTGCCCCCCTGGCACTGCTAGTTTGTTCATAAGTTCATGCAGTCCAAGACTTGTCCAAATCTCTTTGGCTCGCCCACATTTAAAAAGCAAATGCGCTGTGTCTTCAGCAAACAGAGAGCATTGTGTAGGCATCTCCACAAGAATATTTTTTACCTTACCCACGCACACAAATTCCTTGATAATGCTACACACACACACGTAAAGTTCTTACGTAAACTTACTTACCTTTCCCTAAATACTCTCCTTCCCCTTGAATTTAACCAGAGTGGGCCCCAACCACTAAATCTAATCCAATTAACTACCTCTAAATCCAGGGGCGGAGCTGGGCCCCGGGCACCCAGGGCCTAGGCCCGGGGCATGAAATTTCTGCTAGGCTGTTATATATGTATGATATTCTGCAGGCCCGGGGTACAGCCCAGTAAAATAAAGGGCCAGAGCGTCATGGGTTGTCTCACCGCATGCCAAGGGACGCACACACGAGGAGACCTCCCACACGCGCACGCATGTGACAGGAAAATAGGAAACTGACGGACGCACGCACAACACGAATCTGTCGATTTCTCAAAGAAAGAAAAACCCATCACGAATCTGTCAGGAGACGCCAGCGACCGCGTAGCCGCCGCCGACCTAACTCACACGCGACACACGCAAGATCAATATGCAAAGTCCAAACTCCAGCGCTTGCGCCGACGCCGCCGTCCATCGGCGTCTCGGCCACCGCCGTACCGCCCTCCTGTGTGGCTCTGCGCTCTTCGCCCAATCACCCGGCGCGCCTAGCTTCTTGACTGCCATACCTACCTTGATATTTTTTTTGATGCTTTTCCGGTTTCCCCTCATGCTTCCACTTGTATCATGTTCTAGAATGTCGGTGTGAAATCTGTCTTAGTGTGTATCACTCCAAAGTAAAATTTAATTGCAATAATGTGTGTGTATCAAGTCATATATCTAGTGTATTATTGAACTCATATTAATCTAATTGCCCATTTCATTTCATATTGTAGAAAGAGAAGATGAAAAGATTTTTTTCACCGGTCTCCGGAACGAGTGTGTCTACACTTATCTTTTCAGATGGAGGGAATCAAGCAACTGAGGGGGTGAGTTTTTAGATTTATATCAATCATAATTGTTTCACTTGATGTTTACGCCTTCTCTTATGAAATTTTGCTTTTAATGTCTTGAAGGTGTTGGCCCTTCTTCCACCGACGATGAGGTTATGTGAGGCACTGATGAAGTAAACCATTGATTTGATACTCTTTTTTATCACATACTATTCTTTGTAGTTCTTCACATGTTTTTACCTATTTTGTTGTATCGTTAAGCATTGAGCTAAAATTCTTAATTTTTCATGCAATTGAGCCATATTTTGTCAGGGTATCTTTTGTGGTAGCTAAAAGCCTTGTAAACGTCAAGTTTTTAACTTTGGGCAAAAATTCTTTTTTTTGGCCCGGGGCTTGCTCCAATACTGGCTCCGCCACTGTCTAAATCAGCCTTTACTTAAAAATCTTACGTAACTTTACGTGAGTCTAGCATTACTCCAGATTCCTTGGCAAATCCTATACGGCGCTCTAAGCGCCCGTTATAGGGTTAACGGTACAGGGTGGACACCCCGCTCCGCGATGGGCCAGCCCATTTTCATTTTTTTTCCTTTCATAAACTGCATTCGAACCCGCGTCGATGGGTTCAGTGCAAGATACGCTAACCAACACAGCCACTCCACCCTCTGTGATAGCGTAAAGCTTCTCCCCTCTTTTATTCTTTATGTTTCCCTTTTCCTTTTCTTTATTCATTATCTTTCCTCTTCTTTTTCTTTTTCTATCCTTTTTGGGTTATGAATTTCTTTTTCAAATTCATTGAACTTTTTCCAAAATTGATGAATCGGTGATATTTTTTCAAATTTGATGAACTTTTAAAAAAACGTGAACTGTTTTTGAAGTTTGTGAACTTTTCCAAAACTGATGAACTTTTTTTAAAATTCGATGAACTTTGTTTTTAAAAATTGATGAACTTTTCTTAAATAGATGAACTTTTATAAAAAAAATCGTGAACTATGTTACGTTTGTGAACTTTTCTTTCAGAATTCGTGAACACTTTTGAATTTACAATTTTTTTCTTTTTTTCAAAAGTCAACCTATCTACTAGTCAACCGCGATCAAGCGAACGAAGGTGACATGCGAGAGGAGCGAACGAGGTGATCTGGGACGGCCTGGTTCGCGGGCGCGTAGTCCCCAGTACCTCAAGCCGGCACTGAAGGCGCCCTATAGGGGCTCCCAGATTCCTTTGCCTTAGGCTGGCCATAGTGGGGGTAACATAAGTAGTATCATATACTTGTGACTCGCAAACATGCTTATGTGGCAGGCAATTAAAAAAGAGAGAGATAGTTATAGTAATAACATAGGTAGATACCGTAACATAATAAATGTGATGCTATTATGTGTCATGCATGGCAATAAATGAAACCACCTATGATAACCTATGATACTAGTCTAAGTTACTCCCCACTATGACCAGCCTTACCAAAGATTAAATCATTCCTTAACTCCCAAGAACATGAATAAGATTTTTGCTGATGCACCGATGACCTTAACTTATCCAACAAAATAAGCAACCAATCTGGGCCCGAGAAATGCAAAACATTTTGGCCCAAGCCTGCCACTGTTTATTTACAAGGAAAAAGTGATCTTCATCTACTCTTCATCTTTGATCTGATCAGTGCAGCCCCTTGGATCGTCCGCAGCCCATGATGGACGACGGCAGCCGGCCGACCCTCTCGACGCCCTCCTCGAAGACCACACCCATGCCCATGAACACATGCGCCTCCACGTGGCAGTGGAACAGCCACACCCCCGGGTTGTCCGCCCGGAACCGCACCGCCGTCCACCCATCCGGGTGCAGCGGCACCGTGTTCTTCATGATCGGATCTCTCACGTTGAGCAGCCTCCAGGCGTCCGCGGCCGGGTTGAACTTACCTTCGCCGTGGCCGAGCACCCAGAAGTCGTGCCCATGGAGATGCCACGGGTGCGTCTCGCTCTTGTTGTTGAGCATGTTGGAGTTCTGCAGCACCACGTCCACCACGGAGCCGAGCGCCAGCCGGTACACCGGGCTGCCCACGGTCCCGTTCGTCGGCGCCGGCGCGGAGATGTCGTGGCTCATGTGGTCGTACATGTCGGGCGGCGGGCGTTGCTCGTACGCGTCTTTCATGCCGCGTTTCATCGCCACGAGGTACGGCGTGGCCGGGAACATGAGCGACACGCCATTGATGGTCCACTTGATGTGGCCATCGATCCGGTTCTGGGTGTTGAGGAGGAGCAGCGTGCGGTCGGCCCTCGCCGGCATGGGCTCTACGAAGCGTGGGTGCGCGAAGATGGCCCTGCTCTGCTCCACCCTGATAGCCGTGTTGTTCCATGCCGGGCCAGCCGGTGGCGCCGTGGGCGGAGGCATCCACGGGTTGTTGCCGTTGAAGGCGTAGCTGACGAAGGCCTTGCCGCTGGGTGTCTGGCTGGGGTTGCGGCCGACGACGTGGGACGCAGCCCAGTAGTTTCGCCGCGGGTCCTGGTCGGCCTTGACCAGCACGGAGTACGTCTCGCCGGAGTAGATGAAGAGGCCCCTCACGGCGAACGGCCGCACGTAGTGCCCGTCGGCCTCCACCACCATCATCGGGTGGCCCTCCATCTCGAAGTAGAGCGAGGAGAGCGAGGTGAGGCTACCGATGCGGAGGAGGTATGTCTTTCCCGGCACGGCGGTGAAGAGAGTCGGCAGAGCGCAGTCGGGGAGGGAGGCGTTGCACGTTCCACTGGGAGCGAGCGAGCAGTTGAACATTCCTCGGCCGTCGATGAGGAGAGACTGGGGCTCGGTGACGAAGACGAAGGGGTTGGAGGAGAGGCCTGTGGCCTGCTCGTAGACGCTCTTGTGCCACCAGTCGCCGAGGAGGACGGTGTGCTCCTCGTCGTAAGAAAAGGGCTCGACGAAGCCGTCCGGCACGGTGACCACAATCATGCCGTTGAGCCCCGCCACGCGCTGCATCCCATAGTGCGCATGGTACAGGTACGTGCCAGGCTGAAAGAACACAAACACATTCACAGATGAGAATTCAGCGTTGACAAAGTAAAACAACAAATCTTGCAATGTATAGTGTATGTTGCTTACCCTGTCGACGACGAATTTGTAGGTGAATGTTTCGCCGGGCAGGATGGGGCACTGCGTCACGCCGGCGACGCCGTCAGCCCACGGCGTGCCAATCTGGCGGATGCCGTGCCAGTGGATGGCGGTGTTCTCGGTCTCGGGCTTGTTGTGGACAGCGACGACGATGGTGTCGCCCAGCGTGGCGCGGATGGTCGGGCCGGGAGCCTCGCCGTTGACGGTCACGGCGAGCTTCTCGAAGCAGTCGGGGGACTTTAGCTGACACGAGATGTCCCACTTGTTAGATAGAAGCGTTCCTACTCCTCGATGAGGAGCCGCGTTGGTTTATATTGATTAGGGACAGGAATCGCCCCTGTCGTGGCTTACAAGGCAAGACCGACCGTTTCATGATTCGGTCGTTACAGCAAGGGGAGATAGATACGAGAGGGAGAGGGAGAGATAGAGTTTGTTGAGATTACAATACAGTAGATTCTATCTCTATTTCTAACACCCTCCCTTAATCTCAACTATCCTATGTTAAGATTTCTCTTGAACTCCTCAAATGGTTTGATGGACAATGCCTTAGTAAAGCCGTCTGCTACCTGATCTTTGGATGGAATAAATCTGATGTCCAGTTTCTTCTCTGCAACCCTTTCTCTCACAAAATGAAAATCAATCTCAATGTGTTTAGTTCTACCATGAAACACTGGATTAGCAGAGAGATAGGTAGCTCCCAAATTATCACACCATAAGCATGAAGTGCGGTGTTGCTTAACACCCAACTCATTAAGTAATGATTCCACCCAAATGATCTCAGCAGTTGCATTAGCTAGTGACTTATATTCAGCCTCTGTACTTGACCTTGACACTGTAGCCTGTTTCCTGGCACTCCAAGAAATAAGATTAGATCCAAAGAATATTGCAAATCCTCCAGTTGACCTCCTGTCATCACTGCATCCTGCCCAGTCAGCATCAGAAAAGGCACTGACAAGAGTGGAGCTAGAACGTTTAAACTGGAGTCCTAGGCTTACAGTGTACTTTATATATCGTATGATTCTTTTAACAGCTGTCCAGTGTACAGTAGTAGGTGCATGTAGATACTGACAAACCTTGTTAACAGCGAATGATATATCTGGTCTTGTCAGTGTCAAGTACTGCAAGGCACCCACAGCACTCCTATACCTCGTGATCTCTTCTTCCTTTAGAGGTTCCCCTTCAAAAGCTGAAAGTTTTTCTGAAGAGGATAATGGTGTAGGTGAAGGCTTACAATCCTTCATCCTCATGCGAGTCAGAAGCTCAGTAGCATACTTTTCCTGATTCATTACTATGCCATCTGGAATCTTCTTCACCTCAATGCCCAGGAAGAAGTGTAGATCACCAAGGTCTTTCAAGGCAAACTCTGAACTTAAATCATGAAGTAGAGCATTAGTGGCATTTGATGAAGAACTGGCAACTATAATATCATCAACATATATCAAAACAAATATGATTGTGTTTGCCTTGTTATAGATGAAGAGTGATGTGTCAGCTTTAGATGCAACAAATCCAAGACACCTTAGCTGAGAACTTAACCTTGAGTACCATGCTCTTGGTGCCTGTTTTAGGCCATAAAGAGCCTTATCAAGCTTACACACATAGTGGGGTGTTTTCTTGTTTTCATACCCAGGTGGTTGTCGCATGTAAACCTCCTCTTCCAGAACACCGTGCAAAAACGCGTTCTATACATCTAGCTGCCTCAAGCTCCATCCCCTGGAAACAGCAATAGCTAACACAAGCCTAATAGTTGCAGCTTTAACAACAGGACTAAATGTGTCCTCATAATCCAGACCATAACGCTGTTTAAAACCTTTTGCAACCAGACGTGCCTTATACCTGTCAATCGAGCCATCTGCATTTTTCTTGATTCTATATACCCACTTACAGTCAATAACATTTTTACCTCGCTGCTCAGGTACAAGATGCCACGTTTTGTTTTTCATGAGTGCAGAGTACTCTTCATCCATTGCATTTTTCCACCTTGAATCTTCAAGTGCATCTTCCAATCTAGTCGGCTCTCCTGCAATACATAACATGCCATAGCGTATAGTACCATCTGTTCTAACTTTTGGATTCTTTATACCTTTCTGAGGACGAGTTGTGACACGTGAGACTGGCACTGGCTGTGGCTGAACAAGTGACCGTGCCACAGAAGATCCAGATGATGCACCAGATTCTCTGGATCCACTTTGCATAGCTGATCCGCCGCCTGATTCTGTGGCCTTCGGTGTGTTCGCTTAATACTGGCAGACTCTGTAGCCGCAGCCCCGCGCGATGCAGAAGATCCCGAAGACGTCGCTGTCACCTGAACCGCACGCGATCCTGAGCCAACCGCGCGCGATCCCGAGCCGACCGTCTCAGGCTGGAGACCGGTCGTGGTGGGCCACCCGCACATGGGACGCGGAGCCGGCCCACTGTCCGGCAACGTGGCATGCTGGCGCTGGCCTCTGGCGGGCGCGCGATCCGGAGTTGATTGTTGCACATGATCCAAGGACGCCAGGCGCTGCGGCGTCGCAGGTTGCGTCGGATCTACCTCGTGGTCCGCGCCTGCCTCTTCTTCCTCCAACACATGCAATATAGGGCCGTTTTATGCCAAATCTTGATTGTTTTGAGCACCGTTTTCTCCTGCGTTTTCTCCATGACCCTGCACATGAACAGATGCACCACTAGAACTGATTGAAGTGTCATATTGGTCAGTACAATCATCGCCCCCTTGCTCAAAATTCCGAAGGTTTGGAGGAAGAAGAAGGATTTCTTTCTTAAGAATGGCTCCGGCGTTAGGGTGAAGAGAGGCAAAAGGGAAAATGGACTCATCGAAAACAACATCACGGGATATATAAACTCTGCCAGTAGAGACATCTAGACATTTTACTCCTTTGTGAATAGGACTATATCCCAGGAAAACACATCGTTTGGAACGGAAAGCAAGCTTGCGTGAGTTATATGGCCGTAGGTTAGGCCAGCATGCACAACCAAAGACACGCAGAGACTTGTAATCTGGGCTAGTGCCAAAAAGACGTGTGATAGGAGTCTCAAACTTGATGACTTTGCTAGGGAGCAAGTTGATGAGATGTGTGGCAGTTAAGAATGCTTCATCCCAGAATTTTAGTGGCATAGATGCATTTGCGAGTAGAGCTAGGCCTACTTCAACAACATGACGGTGTTTTCTTTCTGCTGAACCATTTTGCTGGTGCGCATGGGGGCATGCAACATGATGAGAAATACCAAGTTGCTGAAAGAATGAATTCAGTTTCCTGTATTCACCTCCCCAGTCGGTTTGCATGGTGATGATCTTAGTGTCTAGTTTTCTTTCAACAAGGTTTTTAAAGTTTGTGAAAACTTGAAACACTTCAGACCGTTTCTTAAGAAGATAGATCCATGTAAACTTGCTATAATCATCAATAAAGCTTATAATATGAGTATCTACCGACTGAAGTAGGAGCTGGCCCCCAAACATCTGAGAAAACTAGTTGCAAGGGTGCAGTAGATATGCTAGTAGATACAGGGTATGGAAGTTGATGGCTTTTAGCCTGTTGACATGGATCACAAATCGACTTACTTATCTCATGAGAAATAGGAAGTTTATTCTTGCTAAGAACAAATTTAACAATGACTGATGAAGGGTGACCTAATCTACTATGCCACTTGGATGATGAAGGCTTCATAGCGACAAACGCTCGTTTATTCGATGATGATGACGAAGATATAAGTGGGTAGAGACCTCCCACGCATTTGCCCCTAAGAAGGATTCTCCTCGTGTCCAAGTCCTTTACCAAAAAGAAATAAGGGTAAAATTCAATAAGTACACGATTATCTAAGGTAAATCGATGAACGGAAAGAAGATTTTGTGAGGCTTCAGGGACATGAAGAACTTTGTTTAGATGCAAGGTTTTTTTAGGGGTTTTAACAATTGAATGACCAATATGAGCAACTTTCATACCAGAACCGCTTGCGGTGTGTACTTGATCATGTCCATGGTACTTCTCCTTGAACGTCAACTTGTCTAGCTCGCCAGTGATGTGATGTGAAGCACCGGTATCTGCATACCAGTTCGTGTCGACGCCATAGGAGTTGGTGACCATGTTTGCACTCTTCTCCTCGGGTTCATCTTCATCATACCTATGCCAACAATCACGAGCACCTCCTGGATGATGTTTGTAGCAGATTTGACATTCTGGATAATCATGTTCTTGCTGCTGTCGTTGTTGTTGTGGGCGACCGTGACCACCTCTGCCGCCGCCGTGGCCACCAGATGGAGTCGGGGAAGGACGCCTGCCACGGCCGCGTCCTCTGCTGCTGCTGCGCCCGCGGCCCCTGCTGTAGCCGCGTCCGCGCCCCCTGTACGCCAAATTTGTAGAGGTTTTGAAACCCCCGTCAGGCCCATCGCCAAGCATCTCGACTCGCTAATCAAACGCCGCGATCTGAGCAAACAAGTCATCAACTGTGATCTGGTTCTTGATTGCGCCAATAGCTGCCACAACAGGATCATAATCTCTGTCAAGGCCGGCGAGAACATAATCCACCATCTCTGGATCCGAGACAGGACGTCCTGCCGCTGCGAGTTCGTCCCCCAGGTTCTTCATCCTGGAGATGTAGGCGCTGCTGGACATGGAGCCCTTCTTTGTGTTGGTGATGGCAATCCGCAGATTGGTGATGCGGGATTGGGACTGCGAGGAGAACAAGGTGGTGATGGCAGTCCAGAGATCAAAGGTTGTCTCCTTGCTCGCAACCTGGGCGAGGATCTCCATTGACAAGGAGTTCAGAAGATGACTCAGAACCTGTTGATCCTTTGATATCCACTGTGCATACAGCGGATTGGGCTCCGTGGTGACGGTTTTGTCCGTCTGCTCTCGCTGCACCGTCTTCGGTGGCGCGACGTCTGACCCGTCGAGGAGGCCGGTGACCTGCGCTCCTCGCAGGCCCGGCATGACCTGTGCCTTCCACAGGATGTAGTTGGTTTTGGTAAGTTTCTCGGATGGTAGGGCTCCAAGGTTGAGGATGACGGTGGATGAGGACGACATGGCGATGGCGAGGGTGAACGAGGAAGAAAGCTTCTGGCTAGATCGATGGGAAGAGGATGGCTCTGATACCATGTTAGATGGAAGCGTTCCTACTCCTCGATGAGGAGCTGCGTTGGTTTATATTGATTAGGGACAGGAATCGCCCCTGTCGTGGCTTACAAGGCAAGACCGATCGTTTCATGATTCGGTCGTTACAACAAGGGGAGATAGATACGAGGGGGAGAGGGAGAGATAGAGTTTGTTGAGATTACAATACAGTAGATTCTATCTCTATTTCTAACACCACTCGTAGTAGTGCACCTTGGCCTCCGCCACGGCCACCAGCAGCCAGAAACAGAGGACGGCGGTGGCGGCGAGCAGTGGCCTCGCCGACGGTAGCATGGTGCCTGCGGTAGACGTGGCACCACCAGAGAGCTCCTTAATGGTACTGACCACTGGCGCTGGCTGTGGATTGAAGCAAGAAGAAGCTAACCGCTGCGCTGCAGTAGCTTGGTTGGCTTGTGTGTCGACGATGTTGCATTGGTGTGTTTTCGTTGCTCGACCAAATGCGTTATATATAGGTTTTATTATTTTGATTGAGCCAATGCGCGGCTAGCGGATGATTGGATCGATTGAACCGTTCAAGCAGAGGCATGCGCATGCACACGGTCATGGTGGGTGGCATTTTCCATTTTTTAATTTGCAAGTAGCTAAAGAGACGACTGGGAATGATTAAACCTTACACGCGTGTTGAATTGACTTAAGAATTAATCAGCAGATCGGCTGTCAAGCCAGCATGTGTGTGTTTAAGACCGGATCAGGTCTTGCATGCATGCAGGCAGGCATGCAGTCGGCGGGCAGTGAAAGGTGCATCCTCCGTTGAGGTGGATTAGAGAGTTGGTCACAAAAGTCTCTGAAGTGATCCAAACAAGAACCAAAACTGAACGATGACAGTGGCTGTTTACAAGTAAGGCTGGTTGTAATGAAAATATTATATAGTAATATCATGCATATGATACTACCTCCCTAATGCATAGTACTGAATCATATATTACTATCATGTAGTACTTTATTTATTGTCATGCATGACACAAAGTAACATAACATTTATTATGACGGTATCATAATATGATACTCCATCATCTCTTTCTTCATTTAATGCTACGACACCTCATCAAAATTGCCTAGTTGGCATGCATGATACTAGCTATGATATTACCATTACGACCAGCATGTTGGGCTCGTGGGGCTGCGTATCCAACTGCCACCCATACGTTTTGTAAGAAAATATACTTTTTCTCCCAGCTTTATGATTAAATCTATGAGACATGTGGGATTACCCAAGCAAGCTTTAGACAAGTTCAACACAACCGTCAAACACAACCAGGTTCACACCTACTTAAAAAAAACAGGTTCACACCTACTAGTGCATTGACTGAAGCAACAACAAAGGACCGTGCTACTGTTCTGTCGACATTGAACTAGGGGAAACGAGTTTTTTCTGGGGGCCGCCTCCATTTTAACACCTGACACACTGATTTCTAAACTTTGAAGGCTTCCTTTGGTTCATAGCATAGGATTATCTTAGAAATAGAAAATTTATAAAAAATAAGATGACATGTATCTGAAATCCTATAATTTTAAAAAATAGCATTTAGTTCACATGAAAAAAAATCATTGATTCTACGATCATGTTTATTTTCTTTTGAAATGTGAAGGATAGAAACCAATCCTTTGTAGTAATAGGAATCCATTCCTATGAACCAAAGGGCTCTAAAAATATTATTCTTATAAGAATCCTATCATATTCTATAGAATTTGTATGAAATTCCTCCGAACCAAAGGTCTTTAAAGCAAAAATTCCTATAAGAATCCTATACTATAGAATTCCTATGAAATTCTTCCGGACCACGGGATCCCTAAACCTCTGGAAAAAAGAGAGATTGGAGAATGGGGTGAGACTGGGGAGGAAGTAAGGCCATCTCCAACGCGGACCCTCAAACCACGCGCAAGCGTCTCGACCAACCTGTCCGAACGCAATTTGTCATTCAACGTCGTCGCGCATTGGTCCGCGAACCAGTCCAGAAGTTCGTTTTCCCGCAAACCAGAAGCAACCAGGGGGTTTGGCGGGAGTCCAGACAACAGCCACATAGGACTCCGACACTCCTGACCCACCCAAAATCCCGTATGGACCTCGTGTCACCATCCTTCCCTCTTTCTTTGCATCTGCTTTATCTCTCGTAGTCGTAGCCGCTCTACCACCCAGGCTGCTCGCCAAGCCCTTCTCGTTTACAATATGTTTAGTAAAAGCTTTATTTTGTCATAAGCATTGGATGAATTTATCATGGATTGCATCAAGGAAATATTTTCAATTAAAGAACAATTATGATAATTAAAGTCCTTGTAATCCAAAGTAGTGGACACATCACTATTTAAAGTCTTGATCTCTCCAAACCCACTTTTATCATTTTTATCATTGAGATCATCATCCTCCGAACAATTGGGACACCTTCCAGCTAAAGTTGACTCATCTCCAGTCCCTTTTTCATTAAGTTTTATATCAGTAAACAACAATCAATAGGTGAGACACCAATCATTATAATATCCTCATCATGATCACGATAAAAACCGGGTGGAACGGCCTTTTCTAGGAATTCTCGCTTAGCTCTCAATATGGTGGTTCTTTCTTTACTTTCATTAATGGAGACTTGGGTAGATTTAATAGAGTCATTAATATCATGCTTGGGTGCCAAAATTTTAATTTTAAGAGTATCCACATCATGAGCAATTCTATCCATGTTTCTAGCCATATCATCAACTTTATTCAAATTCTCTTCCACCATGACATTAAAAATCTTTCGAGAATTAATGAATTCTTTCGTGTTGTTCTCAAGATCACCAGATATCCTATTATTATTATTATTATTATTATTATTATTATTATTATTATTATTATTATTATTATTATTATTATATGAATTTCCATAGGAATGACGATAATTATTAGAGGAATTTCCGGGATACGGCCTAGCATTGAAATTACCCCTATATGCATTATTGTTGAAATTATTTCTAAAGAGAGAATTCACATCAATAGTATCATTATTTTTCTCAATAAAAGTACATAGTGGCACATCATTAGGATCAACATGAGCATTTTTACTAGTAAGCATTTTCATAAGAGCATCAATTTTATCACTCAAAGTAGTAATTTCTTTGACATAGTTTACCTTCTTACCAGTTGGAGCTATTTCAGTGTGCCATTGAGAATAATTTTTCATTATATTATCAAGAAGTTTCGTAGATTCTCCCAATGTGATTTTCATAAAAGTACTGTCTGCAGCATAGTCTAGAAGATTTCTAGAAACAAAGTTTAGTCCCGCGTAGAAATTTTGCATAATCATCCATAATCTTAAACCATGAGTGGGACAATTTATAATCATTAGTTTCATTCTCTCCCAAGATTGTGCAACATGTTCATGCTCAAGTTGCTTAAAATTCATAATTTGATTTCTATGAGAAATATTCTTAGTGGGAGGAAAATACTTAGCAATAAAGGCATCCTTACACTTATCCCATGAATCAATACTATTGCGAGGCAAGGATGAAAACCAAGTTTTAGCACATTCTCTTAGTGAGAAAGGAAATAATTTCAACTTTATAATATCATTATCCACATATTTTTTTCTTTTGCATATCGCACAATTCAACAAAAGTATTATGATGCAATGCAGTATCCTCATTAGGATTTCCATAAAATTGTTCTTTCATGACAAGATTTAGTAAAGCATCATTAATATCATATGACTCTACACTAGTGGCGGGTGGAGCAATTAAAGTATTAATAAAATCATTATTATCGAGATTTTAAAGTCACAAAACTTGGTATTTTCTTGAGAAATGGCAACAAAACAAGCAAATGAGCAAACAAAATATTTGTGTTTTTTTTTGTTTTTTATGAGAAGTGGGGAAGATGAAAACAAGAGGCAAAGGCAAATCAAAAGTAGAGCAAGTAGATGATAGTTTGTGTGAAGGTACTTGATAGGTTTTGTGATGTCTCACTGGCAACAGTGCTAGAAATCCTTCCTGCTACTTTGTGCTGCATTGAGATTTTCCCCGAAGAGGAGGGGAGATGTAGTACAATAGAGATAAATATTCCCCTCAGTGAGAACCAAGGTTTATCGAACCAATAGGAGAATCATGCAAAGCCTCATGAACAACATCTGCACACACAAAAGAAAATACTTGCACCCAACGCATGCAAGAGGGTTATCAATCCCCTTGAACTCGTTAATTGCAAGGATAAAATCGTATATAGGTAGCTAGATAAATTGCAAAATAAAATAAAGGCAAATAAATTGCAACATATTACTTTTGGATTGGTTAAAGTAGACCCCGAGGCTATATTTTTCATTAGAGGCTTTTCTGTCGAACACATATCATACGGTGGGTGAACAAATTACTGTTGGGCAATTGGTAGAAAAGCGCATAGTTATGACGTATTCACGACAATGATCATGTATATAGGTACCACGTCCGAGACAAGTAGATTAACTCATGCCTTCATCCACTACTATTACTCCACGAATCCACCGCTATCCGGCAAGCATCTATAGTATTAAGTTCATTACAAAAAGAGTAATACCTTATGCAAGATGACATGATGTAGAAAAAGTAAACCCAGGATATAGTGCACCGCAATATTAAACCCATTACAAAGCACCTCTCTCAATGAAGATAAATCAATCTAGTTGGCCAAACTAAACGGGTAGATAGGAAAGAAATACAAAACTATAACAATCATGCATAATAAAGTTCAGAAGAGGCTCAATTACTTCCAATGAATATTCCAATCATAAACCCACAATTCATCTGGTCTCAACAAACACACTGTAAAATAGGATTGCATCGGATAGAACTCCAAGAAGATCGAGGAGAACATTGTATTGAAGGTCAAAGTGAAGGAAATATGCCCTAGAGGCAATAATAAAGTTGTTATTTATATTTCCTTATATCATGCTAAATGTTTACTATTCATGCTAGAATTGTATTAACCAGAAACTTAGTACATGTGTGAATACATAGACAAACAGAGTGTCACTAGTTTGCCTCTACTTGACTAGCTCGTTGAATCAAAGATGGTTATTTTTCCTAACCATACACATGATTTGTCATTTGATTAACGGTATCACATCATTAGAGAATGATGTGATTGACTTGACCCATCTGTTAGCTTAGCACGATGATCGTTTAGTTTGTTGCTATTGCTTTCTCCATAACTATACATGTTCCTATGACTATGAGATCATGCAACTCCCGAATACCAGAGGAACACTTTGTGTGCTACCAAACGTCACAACATGACTGGGTGATTATAAAGGTGCTCTACAGGTGTCTCTGAT